CCCTAGAGAACTCAGATTCTGCTCACTTAACCCTTTTCAGCAAATCTAGGGTCTGCAGAGACCCTGCTGAGAACACTTTATTCTAAAGCTGAGAAGTAAATGCATTTTGAGTCTGTTCATGAAGCTTTAATTACCCAGTTTACAACCATCAAAGAAATATTCTTTGACTGCCAGCAGCTTGTTTGAAATTGTTAATTCAGAGCCATGTTTCAACCTCTAGAACAGTACTGTCCAACAGAAATATACTGTGAGTCACAAATGTAATTTTAAATTCTCTAGTAGCAACATCTTTAAAAAGTAAAAATAAATAGATGAAATTACTTTTAATGATGTATTTTATTACACCCAATATATCCAAAATGTTATTTCAACATGAAATCAATATAAAATATTATTAATGAGATATTTTATATCCTTTCTTAATGCTGATTTTTAAAGATTACACCTATAGTATGTCTCAATTCAGACTAGGCATATTTCGTTAGTGGCTGTCGTATTGAACATCATTGCTCTAGGGAAACTCTAAACATCTGCTGTTGAAGAAATGTACTAGAGCAAACATGGCCAAACATAAAAATAGATGTGGAAGGTTAATGTGGCTTGAATCAAATCACTGTAATAGTCATCTGGTCCGAGTCATCATAACAAACCAATTATTCATTATAAACACCAATTCTGTGTTTACAACTGGGAACCCAAAGAACCCATTACAGTCAACTGGAAGCATTTATTTAGTATGTCCCCTGGGTTTCAGTGCTGAATTCTGAATGTTTGGTAGCTTGTGGAATTTGTGATGAGGTTTGGTTTTCATAGTTTCCACTTACCTCCCCCGTTCTCTTCCAAGTTCTGAAAGATGGGGAAAACTCAGAGAATGTTCATTAAGTTAAATGAGAAGCACGTACCAGGTTTTTAAAATTATTTTTATTTTGAGATAATTATGTAGATATAAGAAATACATAGAGATCTTTACCCAGTTTCCTCCAATGGTAACATCTTGCAAAACTATATGAGAACCCAGATGTTGTCATTGATACTCAACATTTCCATCACTACAAGGAGCCTTCATGTTGCCCTTTTATGACCACATCTACTTTGCTACTCCCCCCCACCTTCTCATTATTTCCTGGCAACCACTAATCTGTTCTTCATTTTTATAATTTTGCCTTCCAAGAATAGAATCTTATAGTATATGAACTTTTGGGATTGGCTTTCTTTCACTCAGCATAATTCTTTGGAGATTCACCCCGGTTGCGTGTGTTAGTTGTTGGTTCCTTTTTTTGTTGAGTAATATTCCTTGGTATGGATATACTACAGTTTGTTTAACTATTTACCTATTGAGGGATGTCTGGTTGTTTCTAGTCTGGGACTGTTACAAATAAAGCTGCTATAAAACACTTGAGTAGGTTTTTGTGTGAACCTAAGTTTTCATTTCTCTGAGATAAATGCCCAAGAGTGCAGTTACCGGGTCATATGGTTGTTGCAAGCTTAGTTTCTTAAGAAACTGCCAAATTATTTTATATTTTTCACCCTCACTAACTCTGTGTGAGTGATCCAGTCTCTCCACATCTCTACCAACATATGGTGTCATCACGATCTTCTTATTTTAGCCATTCTGATAGGCTTGTAGTGATATCTCATTCTGGCTTTAATTTATATTACCCTAATGGTTTATCGCGTTGAACATCTTCTCATGTGCTCATTTGTCATTTTATGTCCTCTTTCAGTTTATATCTTATGCCGTTTTCTAAGTGGACTGTTCGTTTTTTTACTGTTGAGTTTGAGCGTTCTTTATATATTCTAGAGACCATCCTTTTATGTCCTCTTTCAGTTTATATCTTATGCCCATTTTCTAACTGGACTGTTCGTTTTTTTACTGTTGAGTTTGAGCGTTCTTTATATATTCTAGAGACCATCCTCTGACAGATATGTGGTTTGCAAATATTTTCTCGCACTCAGCTTGTCTTTTTATCCTCATAACAAGGTCTTTCACAGACGAGAAGTATTTCATTTTAATGAACTCTAATTTGTCAAGTTTTGCTTTTATGGGTCATGGTTTGGTGTCAAGTCTAAGAACTCTTTGCCTAGCCCTATATCCTGAATACTTTATTCTATAATTTTTTTCTACAAAAGTTTGACATTTTACATTTGACTCTGCAATACATACATTTTGAGTTAATTTTTGTATAAGGTATGAGACTTAGGTCAAGGCTTATTTTTGGGGTTATGGATCTCCATTGCTTCAGCAACATTTGTTGAAAAGGCTATGTTTCCTTCATTGGATTGCTTTTGTGCCTTTTTCAAAAACTAGTCAGACATATTTGTATGGGTCTATTTCTGGGTGTTCTGTCTTAATTGTGTTTCTG